CCGCCGCCCGCAGCCGCACCGCGCCGCACCGCGCCACGCAGCGCCGCACCTGGCCCGGCTGCGAACTCGAATTAAAGGGGCCGGCGGGGACCAGAGCCGAGCAGGTGGCCGCTGAGTTGGCCCCCCGGGGCTCGGCCCCCACCCTACGAGGAGAACACCCATGCTGTGGCAGAGCCCAGCTTACTAACCAGAACCTCGTGGAGAGCTCAGCTGGGTGCCGCTGGGGCCGGGGAACCGGGGACAGAAGTTGAGGGGCGGTCGTGAGAGGCTCCTGCCAGCATAATGAAGTAGGCGAGGAGGAAACAATCGATAGCAGCTATCCCAGGCCCGAGGAGGGATCCAACCCCGCGGGAGATGGGTTGCTATTATTCCGATGCTGCCAGACAGAATCTGCAGACCCCCTCTCGCGCCGGCTCGCCCTCTCCTCCAGCTCTGCCTCCCCAGCTCTCTCTTACCCAGCCAAAGCCCCGGCTTCGCAAGGGAATGCAGCAGGTACTGCCCGCAGTGCTCGCTGCTAGGTTTCAGGCCAAGGAGCCCCAGGAACGGGCAGAACTGCAGAGCCAGCCCTCTTGGCTCCCTCCCCCCGGGGCCGGGCGGGGAGGGCTCCGGCCCTGCAGTAGCCCCAGGCCCGCTACTCACAAAACCGGTCTCCTCACAGACCTTAACGGAGCCCACTGGCCCACCGGGCTGGGAAATTGGGAGTGCGGCTCTTGGTGCCCTTGCACCCAGGCTCGGGGGTCGGGCAGAGGAGGATGCCCTTTGCTTTTGGAAGTAAGTGTATGGGAAGCCCAGCCTGCCCTCTGCTCAGGTGGTGGATCTGAGAGGGTCCAGGGTGCTCTTGGGAGCCACGTGACAGCCCCATGCCCCTGGGAGTTCTGGTCTCAGTTCCAAACAGTGATTCTTTGAGCCCAGAGTGCCCCAGACACAGAGCCTAGGTGCAGAGGGGCTCCAGTCCCAGGGAGGCTCCTGCTGGGCCCTCCTTGCTGAGAGCCTTCCTCTCTAGGCCTGTAGCTTGTGATGGAAGTTCTGAGAACCTACAAGGTCTGGCTCTGTGGAATTCCAGCATTTCGTCAGGGTAGTCTGCTAGGTATGGTTTAAGACTGGGGGCCTAGCCAGAGCAGTCCAGGAGGGCAATGACCTTAGTGAGCTCTGAGGATGATAGATGATTATAAAGCAGGACTGGTTTGGTCTGGAGCTTCTAGAAGCTAGCCTCTCAGTGTCCCAGCCTGAGCGTGGCCTGGGTGTTTTGAAGCCAGCCAGGCTGGGACTGAAATCCCTGCCAGGTACTAGGTGAATGAATTCAGGTTTCTGGACCTCAGTGTCCTCATCAGCAAAATGAGGATACCTCATGGCTGTTGCGAGGGTTAAGTTGCTCATGGGAAGAGTTTAGCCCCTGGCAGACACCCCACAAATGATGGTTTCTCCACTGGCTTCCCTGTGAAAGTCTCCGTGACTCCCAGCCTTGAGCTTAGCTTGTGGCTGCTTCTCTAAGAGCCCGATCAGCAGGTTTGGCTGGCCCATTCTCTCTGACTCCCAGTGTACCCCACTCCTCACTTGCCCTGAGGTTTCAGCCATTCCTACGCCTTCAGCAAACTGTCCCCCAGTCCCTGCTCCACACTCCTTCTGGAAGCCTCCCCTGCCCAGCGCTGCAAGGCTCTGTTTCTCCTTCTGGCTACATCGGGTCCTCATGTCAATGGAAGCACAACGGACGTCCATTTGATAACACCTCTACGTTTTCCTTGCCCTCCTTTGTTGAAATGAAAGCCGTGGACTGAGAAAAGCCTTGGGGGAGAATGAATAATTGTGCTAATTGGTAACATGGGCCTACCATGTGCTAAGCACCCCCAGTGCAGTGGGAGGCTGGATCCTCACAGCTCTGTGAGCCAGTTTCTACATAGGTACCGTTTCAGGGGAAAGGAAACTGAGGCAGAGACAGGGGAAGCAATCAGCCTGAGGTCACTAAGCGGTGCTCTGAGACATGAATCAGGTGTCTGTGACTCTAGGACAGACACCCTTGGCCCCCACACCACGCTGCTCGGGTTCAACGAGCAGCCCTCCAATTTTATGTCCGTCTTTGGGATCTTCCTCTGACCCCTGACTCCTGTCCCAACTGATTGGCCTCAAGGGAATGTCATCCTCCTTCCCCCCCTTTAAAGCCTGATCTAAGTGTCAACAATGACTGGAGAGAAATTAAGAAAAGAAGGAAAGAAAGAAAAAGAAACGTAACACCGTTGTGCTAGGGCTCAGGGTGTGGGTCCCGCCCTGAGAGGTCTGTCTCGGTTTGGACGTGCTGTGTGAGAAAAAGAACATGGACCCAATTCCCACCTCTGACACTTGCTAGCTGTGTAAACTTGGCCAAGTTATTTAAACCCTCTGAGCCTCGGTTTCTAATTCGGTGCGTGGGACTGCGGAACTCCTCACAGGGCGATCGGGATTAAATGAGTTATAGTGGGCAGCCAGCTAGCTTAGCCTAGCTAGCTGTTTCATCACGGTTAGCTCCCTCCAGCCCTAAAGAGGTCACCAGTTCTTATTTTTGGCCACAAAAGAACAGCTGGAGTGCCCTCTTGATCCCTCCCTGGGGGCAGATCAAACCCCTAATGGCCACTCCTTTGCCCTTCAGTCAGGTTTCCTGCTTGGGGGCCGTGCCTTGCCTTCCGTGGGGTGAGCTGCCAGTGATCTGAAGTTGTCGCTTCCTGAGCTCTGTGACTACAGTCACTGAAAGGAAGAGTTTATGACAGGGTGCGTCCATGCCCCCCCCAACTCCCAGCCCCCAACACACACACACACCGAGGCACTGCAGATACAAGAGGGAGGGTCTCTTCATTTCTGCCACCACAGTTCATGAGCATAGAGGACTCCATCAGGTGTCACTCCCAGAGCAGTGGCTCTCCTTCCTTGCATGACTGTCACCTCCGCTGATGCTTGGTCCCCCACCAACCCACTGGGCCTGCTGTGGCAGCACCGCCCCCTCTGGTCCGGTGAGGAATGAAAGTGGAGAGGTTTATGGTGGGCTGAGCAGGTCAGGGAGGCATGGACTGTGGGTCCGAGCCCCGGGCTGACAGCTGTCCATAGGTCGTTTGATGGAATCCCTGGCACCAACTTGGGGGAAAGATGCCATGATCTCTATTTTATAGATGAAGATACTCACAGAGGACAAGTCGCTGTCCAGGGTAATTTAGCTGGTAAGTGGTGAGGCTGGGATGGAACTCAAGAGGTCTGACTCCACAAATCACTGTTCCATTCTGTTGCCCACTTCGACCGGTAGCCGGGTGCCAGCCCTCTGGGCTCGCTTCCTGGTCTTAGGATCATGGCTTCAGTCCAGCGGACCTTCCAGACCTGTAGGGCGTGCTGTCGAGTTTGTCCAACCTGATGGGAGGTCTTGTTTTAGAAGCTGGGTGGTGGTGGAGTCAAGGCAGGGGCACAAGACTCGGGACCTGGAAGTCTCCACCCTGTGCCCTGGCCTGGAGCAGCTCTACTGATGCTTGTCACATCTGCAGGGCCCGGGGCTGAGCATCCGTCCCCCTGGGGCTTTCGTCTTAGCATGCAGAGCTGTGTGACCCAAAGTCACTCGCTCAACCTTTCTGTGCCTCGGTCTATTTGTAAGATGGGAAGGATAGCATTTGTCCCCTGGCTCCCCTTGCTTCGTAGGGTTTAAAAAGAGAGTGGAAGGAGGGAAGGGAGGGAAGAAGGAAGGAAACTAACATTCACTGTTAGTGTGTTTTAAAATCTCATCTGTTAGCATCGAAGAGGACAGTTCATGTGAATGCACTTGGAAAAGTGGGAAGCCTGGTCAGTGAGGAAGAGTGTGACCTTTTGTTGCTGCTGTCATGATTGTGCCCTGCCAGTGTGCATCATGTCTGATGTCTGAGGACTTCCCCTGGAGTGGAATGAGCATCATCCCAGCCCCCAACTTACCTGAGGGCTGCCTCCTGCAGGAAGCCTCCCAGGATTAACTCCTGCTGCCTCCAAGGAACTCCTCTGTGGAGGTCT